AGAGCGCAAAGGGAAAATGAGGCCACGGCTTCATTTAAATTTACATGGCTGCAACGCTGAGCCGACAAACACCTGATCAGCTGTTTGTCGGCTCAGCGCGGCAGCCATGTAAATTTAAATGAAGCCACGATCATTTAAATCGCGGCTTCATTTGCCTTTGCCTACAACCCTAATCTACATGGCTCCATCGATAGAGCCATGTAGTCTAGACACAGCCTGAATGAGCTAGCCTCTGCTCTTCCTCTGGAAGGGGAGATGGATAAAGAAGGTCAAAAGCTGGATAAAAATGAACACCTTGGAATAAATCAATCCCTTTCAGATTATATTTGTTTTTATTCCTCTTTTGCAAATATGGATGATTGTATCAGCCATGCTTGAGTCAAGAGCCATTTTTTGGTTTTACTATCAGTTTAGTGTTTCAGCAAAAGAAAAATCTAAAGAAACAAACAAAAATAAAACAAAATACATAATAGCTGATAGAAATACACTGAAATTCTATTGCACTTGATCTCAAGGAATGCTGTAAATAACAGCACGTGTGTTCTTTGTGTTTTTTGTCCTATTAGAATTTGAATGTTCATGCTAATGTTTGATTTCTATGATTTCCTTAAATCACAGGCTAATAATTCAATAAATAAACAAACAACAGTAAAATATTACGTAGCTTAAGTGGAAATGGTCAATTCAATGAATATATTCTTGTTTATTCAAGACTTCAATACAGTAGGTCTCTGGTTTCTCCCACTGAATAACCAATGCTGAATTATTAATTCCTTCAAGACGCAATTACCTTGTAGTGTAGAAAAACAATGTTCTTTACAGATTAAATTGAGGATTGAAAAAAAAATGGAACTTGTACTAATACAAATGTTTTTAAAATGCTTTACCAAGAATTGAAATGGTTGAAGAAGAGCTATTTTCTTTAGGATGGGGGACAAATATCGTCTGTATATTTTAATTTGCTTTCTTTGAAATCTAATGTGAGTGGTTGATGTAGCTGTTTAAAATACAGGTTTGTGGACGGTTGCCTAATGGATTATAATCAAATTCACTTGTTCACACATACTATGTTTGCTTAAGTAGGAAAAATTCATTATAAATGGCGTATAAATGCAGTATATATATATATATATATTTGGACAACTGGCCCCAGCCTTGTGACTTAAATGATAAGATAAAGCAATGAGGCATGGTGAACTCATAATAGCAGAATATACTAGGGGACTGTGGTTACGTCTACACAGCAGTGTTATTTCAGAGTAACTGACATTATTCCAAAATAACAGAGAGCATGTCTACACTAGAAGTCTTTATTTCGAAATAATGTCGAGCTGAAGGACTTCTTACTCTGACTCATGGCAACCCTCATTTTACAAGGAGTAAAGGAAGTCAAAGGACAAGTGTTCTTCCTTTGACTTTCTGCTGTGTAGACAGTGCCTAAAGCTGAGTTAAGCTATTTCAACTTCAGTTACACAGTTGACATACCTGAAGTTGTGTAGCTTAATTTGACTTTTGCCCTGCTGTGTAGATGCACCCTATGATGGTTCCTCCCCCACCATGAGATTGTCTGATGAATACAATATGCATAACTCGAAGATGCTTTGAACAAAATTCCTCATGTAACCTATCAATGTTAATGTCTCAGTCTGATGTATCTGTATATCTTATTTATATATGAATCACTCTTGTATGTAAGGTTAGAAATATGGCTTTAAATGTGCAAATATGCTTATGGTTTTAAATGTGCAAATGAAAGCCATCAAAATTGACTCCAATGCTCTGACAATTTTGATCACTGGGTGATCAACTTAATTGCCTGTGAACAGATTGGTTCTGTCTCAGGTCTGAGCGGTGGTTGGTCCTGGAAAATTAACTTACACTGGTATAACAGTTTAACCAGGTAATTTCTCATGGAAGGGAGGTGTAGGAACAAAGAATTCCTGCCCAAAATGAAGTCTACTTAAACTGGAAAGATATCAGTTTCTTTGTCTTTGGCTGGTATGACATACCCAAAGAAATAGCCAGGGATCCCAGGGAGAAAAAGATTTCCCTGGCTTGGAGTTTTAGCCAAAATAAGTACAGTTTTAGGGTAAGTTTGCAAAAAGCTTTAGCGTGTCAGAACTAGCTATGCATTTTCTTTTATTTTAAATTTGTAATTTACTCTGCTCTGTCCATTTTCACTTGCAACTACTTAAATCCCGCTGTTTATATTTAATAAAATTACTTCTATTTACTACCAAGCCTATTGTAAATAATTGTTACTTGGGGGAGCAATCAGTGTGCACATCCTTCTTTCATTATTAAAAGGGGGCTTACCTAAATGTGTTGGGGGTTTTGGTTCCCATTTGGGGGTTGGTTTCCTGGATGCTGTGTCTGCACTCTCCCAGAGCTGGTGTGATTCAATGTTTGCATTGCTTTTTGGGGGGGAGGGGCAGGACGGTGATCTGAGCTCTGTGCTTTGGCTGGGGGAGACCAAGAGAACTGGCCCAGCAGAACAGGGAGCAGAAGTCCCAGAGAGCAAGAAGGTGAATGTCATTGGTTTTATCAGTGCATTAAGAAGCAGCCCCAAAGGGTCTTCTGTGACTGTACCCCATCACAGGAACAGATGCCCAAACTGACATCTCCCACCACCCTGCCCACTTTTTGGCAGGTATACTCTGAGCATTTAAATTCCTGTGGTCCTACCAGATCAGCAAAATTCAGTAGCAAGGGCAAGACACAGCCCTAGGCCAGCTAAAGCACAGGAAAATCCAAAATTGTGCACCATGGAGATCCAGCCTCTTTCAGACATAAACCAATGTCTGAATGTCTAAATCAGTGGTCTCCAACCTCTTTATGCATGAGATCACTTTTTGAATTTAAGTGCAATCCAAGATCTATCTGAAACCTAAATACCCTTGCCCCACCTCCTTTGTGCCCCTTCTCCAAGACCCCGCCCCTGCTCATGATGATTGGGGGGGCACGACCAGTTGTTCGTGAGGTGACCCACCCCCTCAATTCCCTCCACCCCAATAAAGAGCCTGAGCTAGCACTATTTCCTGTGAAAATGGAGGTAGTGCCAGACACAATACAGCACCCTTGCTCCTGCCCAGAGCCCCACCTGCTCCCTTCCCCAGCCCCCACCAGCACCCTGCCCCTGGCCAGATTCCCACCTGTCCCCTGCCCAGGTCCCCATCAGCATCCTGCCCCCTGGCCAGGGCCCCACCAGCACCCTGCTCCTGCCCTCTGGCCAGACCCCATCCACCACCCTGGCCAGACACCACCAGCACCCTGCCTCTTACATCCAGCACCCTTCCCCTTCTTTGTGGCCAGACACCCACCAGCACCCTTAGGGCCTACTTTCTAGAGCTGTGTACACACAAGTACTGCAGCTACCTGCACACTACAGCCCCCGGGCCTGCGAGCTTGGCCGTCCTGGACTCTCACTACGTTCCGGAGGACGTGAGCGTGCACACAAGGGAGAGAGGAGTCAGTGGCAGTGACCCTGCAGCGCGCAAATTCCACTAACCCTGGAACCCCAGAAGAGTTAATCTGGCCTGAGGCTTGAACCTCAGTCCTACCTACCTTCTCCCCATGCAGCTGGAGTGCCAGGGGAGGGTGGTGTCTCAGATGGGGCCACATCGGTGAGGCTTGGGGGAGCTTGGAGGGGGTGGTTTTCTGCGTCTTCCTTGTGTGATTCATGCTCTGGGAGTCCCCTAAAGTATCTCACAATCCCATGGGCCAATTATGTGTTTTTTTAGCAATTCTTAGCATGGAGAGGACAATTGACTCTAGGGAAATGGCAATAGCCCCTTATGGTGTAGTGCAGCAATTTGTTAAGTTGGCATTTAACCCTTCAGACTGCTGAGCTCTAAACATACCCTGGAAGCCTTGTGTGCTTGCAGTGAAGACAGACCAGATGTCTTTTGGAAGGAGTGCTGTTCCCTGGTTTGAGGCCAGAAACTTTCTGATATGAGGCCAGCAAAACAGTGGACTTTAGTAAGAGGGCCAAGAATGATCTTGCATATCAGTGAACACAGAAGAAGCTGGCAGCATTGTACATTTCCTGGAATGGTGACCAGTAGTAGATTAAGTAGCTCAAGACACAAACAGGAAAACCAGGGACAAGAACCGCACCTCAGGCAACTTGCTGACAGCATCACAGTTGCTGACTTTTCATTGTGCCAGGAGATATGCCAGAGAATGTGAAGGATAACAAGAAAGGTTTGAACAGGCATGTTAGCAATAAAGGGGGTGATCAGGCAGGGTGTGGAACCCTTACTGGATGAGGCAGGTAACTTAGGGTATGTCTACACTACAGCGCTAATTCGAACTAACTTAGTTTGAATTAGTTAATTCGAACTAAGCTAATTCGAACTAACGCATCCAGACTAAAAAACTAGTTAGAATTAGTGTTTTGCTAATTCGAACTAGCATGACCACATTAAGTGGACCCTGAACCGAGGTTAAGGATGGCCGGAAGCAGTGCCGGCAGGGCATCAGATGAGGACTTAGAGCGTGGAGCTGCTGCCTCAGGCTAGCCGAGGGCTGTGCTTAAAGGGACCTGACCCCCACCCCAGACAGACAGTTCTCAGGGGTGCCCCGCTTGCAAAGCAGTCCTGGCTTGGAGTGCCCTGAGTGCCCACACTGGGCACATCACAGCACTTGGCCATCAGACTGGCTGCACTTGCCCCAGGCTGCCATCTGGGGAGAGAGGGCAATTGGGGGGCTGCAGGAGAGCTTCCACCCCCAGAAGCCCGCAGAGCCAGCCCAGTCCTCCCCATCGGCGGCTCGTACCCCATTCCTCTCTCACCTCCTTCCACAGGTCCCATATGAAGAGAGGCTAAAGAGACTGGGACTTTTCAGCTTAGAAAAGAGGAGACTGAGGGGGGATATGATAGAGGTCTATAAAAGCATGAG